CGATAATGCCGGGGAGAAGGAGTTTTGCAGCGTAGTGCTCGAGTCCGTAGCGGATATCCACGACACGTTGATTGATGAGGAGATCATCAACGACGACGAGAGCTTCCATTCGGCACGGTCAGAAGTCAGCCGAGAGAGCACGCCGACCAGGGGCAAGAAGAAGGGTGGCGAGCTCAGCGAAGAGGAAGCTCGCGAGAAAGCCATCAAGGAGATCATGATCAACATGAAGTGCCTCCACGTGGTGCAGTGCATGCTGACAAGCGTCGAGGGCAACCTCCAGCAGAATGACCACCTGGTGGCCATGCTTAACAACTTGGTCGTTCCCGCGGTCCGCAGCCACGAGGCACCAGTGCGGGAGCGCGGTCTGGTCTGCCTAGGTCTTTGCGCTCTGCTTGACCGGCCACTGGCTGAGGAGAACCTGACGCTCTTCATGCACTTCTACAGCAAGGGCCATGCAGCGCTTCAGATCACCGCCATTCAGATCCTCACGGACATCCTCAACGTACACGGCGCACAGCTTCTGTCAGCAAACCCTACACTGCTCAAAGTTTATGTCAAAGCACTCCGGTCGGGCACCAAGCACCCAGAAGTTCAGGGTGCAGCCGTCGTTGCCGTCTCAAAGCTGCTCCTTGGCCGCGTCGTCACAGACAGGGATACCTCTGCTGAGCTTCTGAAGACTCTTATCGTGGCATACTTTGATCCGGCAACGGCAGAGAACCAAGCAGTCCGACAGGCGCTTAACTACTTCCTGCCTGTGTTCTGTTTTTCTAGGACGGAGAACCAGGACCTGATGCGCTCTGTTGCGCTGGACGCTCTGCACACTCTGTACAATGTGCGCGAGGGCCTTGACGACGACGACATCGATGTTAACGAAGAGATGGCCAGTCTGAACTCGATCGGCTCGTGTTTGGTGGACTGGACGGACCCGCGAAAGTGCTTCACACCTGGCATGGATATGGATGCCGACAAGCGCAATGTTAATGGCGATGTACACCTCGAATTCGCACGGGACATACTGGAAAAACTTGACAGTAATTTCAGCAGTAAGTGGAACCGAAAAGTGACCATGGCGTGGAGAGCGACGAGCTAATAAAACTTTACAGAGGAGGAGAAGAAGACCATTGCACCGCTGTTGGGCAAGCTGTACATTTCACCAGGCTCCTCCGAGGACAAGGTCCGCGAGCTCTACGCAGAGGCCAACGCCGCAGTCGACGACAACCTTTTGACGGACGCGACTGGGCGCAATGCGCTCTACAAGTTGCACGTGAGCCTGGGCAAGATCGTCAACTCCTACACGGAGCAGGACCGGGCATCGACCGCACCAAGGAGGACGGCTAGCCGGAGCGTGTCTGCTGCGCCAACCGATTCTGTACTGGACGAGGACCGGACGATAACTAGAGACGATCCGACCGTGGTGGCAGTGCAGCCTCGTATAGACGAGGAGGCGACGGAGGACGATGGCGACATGTCTGTAGCCTCATCGAGCCGGCGAGGATCGGTCGTGGATGACATCTTGACGGATGAAGGGGAGATGGGTCAGTAGGAAGCTAGATATGTTTTGGCTCTTGACATGATTTCTGCAAGATTAGTGTTGCTCGAATTGACTCGACTCCGATGATGCTCAAAAGCAATGGCCCTGCGCTTCTCAGTATCACTCAATTGTCAAGACGGTGTCCAGCATCCCGCAGGAGGGATCGAAACTCCAACTCGCACCCTGCGCTCAGCAAAGTACGAGGATGGCCTGACTAAGCCACGCATCGCACTCTCGTTACAACGACCTGGTGGAACCCGTTCCGCACGATGACATCAATATAGTGCGTGACGACAATGACTGTCCGGTCGTAGAAGTGCTTGTCGATGAGTTGGTATGTCCTTGATGATGCCTCCGCATCTACACCGCAGCTACGCAAAGTTTTTATGCCACTTATTTTAGACGGTGATCAAACTGAGATTTGGAGGTTCAGAATAGACTAGGCCGCTTCATGATGGCGCACCAGCCTCAGGATACACCAGCTCGAACCTCTCGCACAGCACCACGCTGTCATCGCAAAAGTCCTTGTCGCCCTGCATGTCCTTCCAGAAACGGATGTGACCCGCCCGCCACGCCTCGTAGTCGCCCTCGGCCTCAGACAGAGCAAACTCCTCGGTCACGTCGCGGAATGGGCACCGAGCAAAGGAAATGGTGCGGATGATGGCGCGCGGCTCGCCCTTGCTGTCGACGACAACGGCGTAGTCGCCGGGACCCCAGTGAAGAGGGTCCGGGATGGGGTATGTGGCCGTGCCAGTCTTGCTGCCCTCGAGCACAAGCTGGAGGAGAGAGTCGTTGAGACTCGAATTGTCGTCGCCGAAGGAGAAGACGTCACTGGGCGGTGGGAGTCGCACACGCAGTGCTGCTGATGCGGCGGCCATATAGGCGACTATGTCGGGCCGCTGGGGGTCTATTGAGGACATGGTTTGGTGTATTTTATGTGGACTTCGTGTGGAGGATCGAGGGATCAAGCTCAGCCTAGAGGCATATATTTTTCGACGTTGAGATATTCGGGTGAGTAGTGCATCGGATGGTGGTGTATCAGACGGACTTATAGATTTGGAGTTGGCACATGCTTACACGTAACTAACCCCGGTCAGCCGCGATGCCGAGTGACTCAGCTGGCCGACAGTGGCTGATGCCAAGGTGTGAACAGAACATGGCCACTGGCTTCGGTGTCCCCAATACTCGATTTTGGCATGGTACGACTCCCGTCTACTGCACAATGTCGACAGACAGATCCCGGGAAGCGGGAGCTCACGGCACCCTGACACTCGAGGAGCCCAAAGTAGAGATGCTCGTATCGGTACTCCGTACTTTGGATGAAGCCGCAGCCCTGTTCAAGCCCTGTTTCAGGCTCTGACGCCCAGACTGGAAACCGGCCCCTGGAACACGAGCTCTGATTGGCTGCACGCTCGTTCAACACGATGAAACCAGCCCCGGCATGGCTTCTCCCCTGTCCACTATAATCAAGGTTGCGACATGTCTTGTTTCGTGGTTTCTCGTCATATTAATCTGTTCTACCTACGGCGCCTGCTTTGCTCCTCTTCTTCCCTCTCTACAGCTTCGTTTTGTCGCTGTCGCATTCTCTGCAGTCGCTCGCCATTTTTCTTCCTGCGGCTGGTCCGTTTCGCCTTCATCTCGCCCACTCGACTCTCTTTTCGATCAAACTACGCTCACTTACATCTCAACTTTCTCTGGAGTCGATCTCCTCATTCCAAGCAGCGACACATCAACTCATCATGTATTCCACCGACGACCTCAAGTCGCCCGCGCACTTTGACACAATCTCGCTCGGCTTCCCCGGGACGCCACGCAGCCAGCACATGCCCCAGCACCCGCTCCGGCCGCCGCGCTACGCCAGCCGCAACGACGAGGACGATGAAGATGAGGGGTCCGTCACCGATGTCGACAGCGAGCACGACCGCCACATCAGCCTCGTCGAGGAGGGCGACTACATGCACTCCAGGCCCATGCGCCGGAGGAGGTCCTCCGCCTCCAAGGGCGGTTTCCTGGCCACCATGAAGGAGCACAGGTGGCTGATCGACACAGGCTTGCTCGCCATGATCATCTTCTTATTGCTCTTCCGCCCGCAGCGTGGGAGGGGACACTTCTGGGAGGGAGCGGGAGATTTGACTGGCTTTGCGCCCGAGTGTGAGTTGTCTCAGGCACTGCTTTTGGGAAGAGGAAACGTTGAGATCTCGACCTTGTGCTGACCCTGGCAACGCCGACATGCAGTCTCGCAAAAGATCGTATCGTTCACGCCAGACCCCGGTTTCGTGCCCGAGAACGCCAGCGAGTTCTTTACTGATGCGACAAAGAACAAGTGGGTTGATCTGGTACCTCGTAAGTCACCACACTGAGCATGGCTTGTCCGCATAGATGAGAGTATGCTGCTAACCTGGATGCCATCACTCGTGCAGCGGGACTCGGTTATGTCAACATTGTCGACCCAGATCAGTACGACAACCTCCCCACCAAGCTCAACGACTACGAGGACCACGACTATGTCACAACGACGTCGATGACGCACCAGTTGCACTGCCTTGTAAGTCTCGCCTTGCAAAATCATCGCTCGCCTAGCTAGGTCTTCCGTACTGACCGCTGCACTCTTTTTGCACGAACCCAGCACTCCATCGCGGAGGCATACTCGTCCCTACGGCTCGACAGCCCGCAAGCCCTGGACGAGGACCAGGTCTGGCACGTGAACCACTGCTTCGACTACCTGCGTCAGAGCCTCATGTGCTGCGGCGACGTCGCGCTCGAGGGCCAGCAGACGACGTTTCCCCGCGACCCGAAGCTCTCGGGCAGCGACGGTTGGGACGCCAAGCACGTCTGCAAAGACTACAGCGAGGTGTATGAGCACCTCAAGACGAGCGCCGTGGACCACAAGAAGTGGATCTGAGCAAGGCACATTAGGAATGTGGTGGAATAGCTCATTGTCTCTTTGTAAATTGCCTGTAGGTTAGGGTTTGCGTGGTGCTGTGTTTCTGTCGAACACGGCGGTATTATTTTTATTGATAACATTCTTCAAAGCCGACATGTCTCACAAATTAAACGCTGAGCGCTATTCTCCCGTCGTTGCAATTCAGAATAGCCAGTGGTTCGCGTGGCGGCGGGCGTCCGGACCTCTGTAGTCTTTGTGAACAGAAGTAGAAACGAACATGATTCTGAGTTTACCATCCAGACGTAACGGATACACTCGCCGAGATTAGCGCCAGCTCCAGATGAAGGACCAATCTCTCTAGAGATGGTTATAAACAAAGCCTAATGGCGGTCGTCAGTCCTAAATCTTGGCAGTACTACGTAGCTACGGAGACGCAAGCTATACTCATCCTCAGCTATCTCGTTCACAGACCGCACAACATATTGCCAGCAACAAACCGTAACTATTCAGGCGCCGAACTGTTCTCAAGTATATAGAAAGCAGCATAAGCACATTGCCAATCATCGAATCATCACGAACATCGTCGGCTTCGTGGCCCAATGGCAAGGCGTCTGACTACGACGGTCCAAGACCACGGTCATGGATTAGAAATAGAGCATCAGGAGATTCTGGGTTCGATCCCCAGCGAAGTCAAAATGTGTCAACCTGTTCTGTTAAAGGAACAGAAGAGAAAGATTTTTTTGCATCGTGTGGTTGTGGGGACGTTGCTTAGTTTTTGGCGGACGATAAGAAGTAATGTGGGCCGCTGTGCGTAGCGTAGATTCGGTTCGTGGAGCTAACCAGCTAGTCGAGCAAGTTATGTTCCGATACTTAAATATTTATAGTCGTATATCACCAGTAGGAACGATCCTATCCTAGGTTAGGTATAGTAAGTATACTTTAAGTATTAGTTACACCCCCGACCACTATGCTACAGGTCAAAGCCCTACCCGTTGTCTCTCAAGCCATTAGCTAGAGCTATTAGTAGTTTTCTTTGACTATTTCTTGAGTAGTTTCACTTGAAAAGAGTATCGGGGCACCAGAATGCTGGTTATATCGTGTAAGGAAATACAGCCTGTCGTGCTAATGGACAAGAGACCAAATAGAGAACTTTGGTGAAGGAAAATTAGATGTTCTGATAATAGCCTCCGATATATCTCTCTAAATCTATATCTTCCTTTCTATCATGCTCTTCATAACCCCAACAATCTCATCTGCTCTGCGCACGATGAGACTGACATGCCCCTCGCCTTCCACAGCCCTGAAATCTACCCCTTGCAAGTATGGCATAGAGACCGTCGCCATCTCGAGGGGTACATTGACATCCTCGCTGCCGTGCCAGACCACGAACCTTCCCTCTGGGATATGCACATCCTCGAGCCTGAGCCCCCAATCGCTGCCGCACAGGACTTTTGCCTCGACGGCGGTGCCCTGCGAGCCTTGGCGGAACGCCTCGCTCATTGTCCCCCTGATCGTGTCCCGCGCACTGCCCTCGTTCGCCCTGAGCACACCGGCGTCTGCCTTGGGCAGCATGAGCAGCATGAGTCTGATCATCCTGTCCAGCCGGCGCGTGTCGCCCCCAACACACGCCGCCCGCGCAGCCGACCCGACCCCCATGCTGAACATGATCTCCGTCAGGCGTGGCCACTGCGCGGCAATCTTGAACGTCCAGTGTGCCCGCAAGGCGTAAAACGTCCTGCATTTCGCTGTGAGGTACTGCGGATACAGCCCAGAAACAACGCACACGCCTGCGCAGCGGTCCCGGAGGGCTCCGTCGTGCCATGTCGCGAGCGCGTACGGCGCGCCGCCGGAGACGCCGATGATGCCGAACCTCTCGAGCTTGAGGTAGTTGGCGAGCTCGAGGATGTCCTGCGGCCAGTCCAGCAGCGTGCGGGATTCCGGGGGCGCAAAAGGCGTCGATCGCCCCATACCTGGTCTGTCGACGGCGACGAGGCGCACGGCGTGTCGGAGCGCGGCATCGTGGAGAATCAGGCACTCGTTGCGGCTGCCGGGGAAACCGTGGAAGTAGAATGCCGTGCTGGCGCTCGCGCTCGTATCGCCCCAGATCTTGAAGGCCAGAAGGCGGCCGTCGGGGAGGGTGAGGGATTGCTCTATGCCCTCGTGAGTCTGCATGTTGTGGTGAACGTGGGCAGGGAAAATGTCTGTGATGGCCACAAAATGGGTCTGACAAAGGCAAGAGGCGCGGAGAGGATTTGATTTCATGACAAAGCTGCCGGACTTTCGGATGAACCCGATAGCAGCGAGGCGAGGCGAGCAGAACTGATAGGCACGTTACATTGTCTCAAAGTTGGCTTACATGCCCACTGGTAAGACAGTTACATTATGGTGCTTTGCAAGACCTGAGACATGTGGCCAACGAATCAGATGTGGGAGTTGGCTCGATTTATGCGACAAGACAACGAAGTCTCCAGGATCATCGAGACTCCTTGCACCGCTAATGCAGAGTTACGGCACTGCCAAGGAGTCAAATGAAGTTGAGCTGTGCTGCTGCTTGAGCGATCTTGAGTGGTAGCGAATCTAATTGAGCAGCCGAAGGACGTTCATCATCTGTTCAAGCATGACCACCTTGCCGCCTGCAACCCTGAAAAAGAAAACGCGATATATAGAGACATGGACATATGGATTGCTCTCGTCACTCCTAAAGTACGTGGTGAAATCTTACACAGGACTTCTGTGAGAAACTCTCCTATTTTTCAACACAGTTGTTGGCCCACGATCTTGATACGTCTTAAGCCTCATTGTAAAAAAGCTACGCAAAAATTGACGGATGTAAAGATGCTCCTACAGAGTTCCAAGTTCTCGTGCAATTAAAACACGATGCGCTAACAAGTAGTTAAATGTAAAATTCATTCGAGAAGTCTTGGTCCGCGTTCGGGATACGGTAAGTGAGATTAAAAGCAATATGAGAACCAAGTGTGACGTTAATCTTGATAACATGGTGCACCAATAAGCAGGAATATAACGCAGAGAGTGCGATACCGCGTGTATTTGCATTCCTGCAGTGTCGAAACTCGATTGAAATAGCCAAGGGTAGAAGTTATGAAGGCGTGCAAAGTTGTGCTGCGTGGATTGTGCTATGTGCAGAGAGGTACTACCTGAGGTCCCTGAGGTAGAGCCAGTTTGACGTCACGGGCCCGACTCCGCATGCGGGGAGCGGTGCACCTGCACAAGCTCCAACTGTCGAACGGACCCTGAAGCACCTGACCAGTTGCAGTTCACGGACCTTATCTCGTGATACGCGCGTGCGTCCCAACCGCCCCAGCCTCCATTCCGCATTCCGGCGTCTTCACCGGTCATCCCTCGACCGGCTCCCTGCTCCTTCTTTGTTCCTTCTCACACATTGATCCGCGCGCTGTACTGCTGCACAGCTGGAGGGTCCAACTCACATCTGCCACGATGCAGGCTTCCTCAACGACCCCTTTGCTGGCCGACGACCGGCGCCCGATAATCGGCGGCCGCGACAGACTTAGCGACTCTTCCGAGGATGAAACTCTCCGCGGCCAGTCCGCCTCAACGCATGGTGGCCGATCCCTATATCTCCGCCTCCGCGAGATCTTGCTCTTCGTCTGGGCTCTGCTTGCCACCGCAGGCATCCTCATTCTCGCCGTCTGGGTCTCCCACAACCAGCAGACCTCGACCGAGAAGCCCTCGGGCAAGCGTAACCTCGTCTTCATGGTCTCGGATGGCATGGGCCCGGCCTCGCTCTCCCTAACCCGCAGCTTCCGCCAGCACGTCGAGGGCCTTGAGTACGGCGACACCCTGACCCTCGACAAGCACTTCTGGGGCTCCAGCCGCACCCGCAGCTCCTCGTCCCTCGTCACCGACAGCGCCGCCGGCGCCACCGCCTTCAGCTGCGGCAAGAAGAGCTACAACGGCGCCATCGCCATCCTGCCCGACCACACACCCTGCGGCACCGTCCTCGAGGCTGCCAAGCGCGCTGGCTACATGACGGGCCTCGTCGTCACCACCGACATCACCGACGCGACGCCGGCCTGCTTTTCCAGCCACGTCGGCTACCGCTTCGAGGAGGGCTCCATCGCGCTGCAGCAGATCGGCCAGGGCGCGCTCAACCGCACCGTGGATCTCATGTTCGGCGGCGGACGCTGCCACTTCCTGCCCCAGGGCACCCCCGGGAGCTGCCGTGAGGACGACATTGACGTTGTCAAAATTGCCAAGGAGGAGTTTGGCTGGAACTACATTAGCGATCGTGCCGCGTTCGACGATTTCTGGCTGGGAAAGAAAGATGTCCCGCTGCCCATGATGGGTCTCTTCGCCGACCACGACATCCCCTTTGAGCTCGACCGCCGCAACATGAACGACATCTACCCGAGTTTGAGCGAGATGGCCAAGACGGCGCTGCGCACGCTCGAGAAGGCGACCGAGGGCAGCGATAAGGGCTTCTTCCTCATGATCGAAGGTACGAGAACCACTGTCAATCTAGATCGATCGCCACGAATCAGGGACTACTGGAACTTCATGCTAACCCCGAACCTACTACTCTACAGGCAGCAGAATTGACCACGCTGGCCACGGCAACGACCCGGCCGCCCAGGTCCGCGAGGTCCTCGAATACGATAAGACGGTGGCCGCGGTCCTGCAGTTCATCGACGAGAGCGATGCCGAGGGCGTCATGGTCGCCACCAGCGACCACGAGACCGGCGGACTGTCCGTCGCCAAGCAGCTCCACGCAGACTACCCGCAGTACCTGTGGTACCCGGCCGTCCTGGCCAACGCGTCGTCGTCGTCCGAGTTCCTCGCCGTCAAGCTCCTACGGCACCTCGCGGACCAGTCTCTCCCCGCGACGTCGACAGACATGGCCTCGCTCGGCGGCAAAGCCCTGGAGTCCCTCAAGAAGTACATCAATGACGAGCTTGTCGTCAAGGGTCTGGGCATCGTCGACGCGACGTCCGAGGAAATTACCACAGCTGTGCTGTATCCGGAGCGCTCCCAGTATACCTTTGCGCAGATGATCAGCAACCGCGCGCAGATCGGCTGGAGCACGCACGGCCACTCGGCTGTTGATGTCAACATCTACAGCTCCGGTGGCCCCGGGACCGAGGTGATCAGGGGCAACGTTGAGAACACCCAGATCGGAGAGTTCCTGCAAAGCTACCTGAGCGTGAACACGGACGAGGTTACGAAGATTTTGAGGGAGGACAAGAAGAGCAAGGCGGCTGGGCAGCAGATCGCGCAAGGCGAGCACGTGTCCGAGAAGGACCACTGGGCGCTGCATGAGGCTGGTATGGCTGCCGATTCATTGGCGTGATCTGTGATCCGTCGAGTCGCATTTCGTTTGCGCTGTTCTGCTGTTCCTGTAATCCTTTGGCGTCATAGAACCACCCACATTAGTCATATCCGCTGCGGCACCGCATTTACAAATACAAATCACTTATTGTCTGGATGTGCACATTGTCCTTACGCGCCAGTGACTTTCTATGGCACATACGGTGGATGAATCCTTCGGTGGCTCACTTCTTTCACTCGTCTACAATTTGACCAGATCTTACCCAAAGCTACTGGATCCCTGGATCACTTTCTAAGCCTCTGACTCGCTGGACTCGTCGGCATCGTCGCCAAACTTCACATACCCAAGGTTTAGGTTGCCGCCGAGGTTCGAGAAATGACCCTGCAGC